GCGGTGAAACAATGGCGGACTGATGACAGCTCACTCAGGGCGGGTCTAAGGTAAGACACCAGTCCAGTCTGTGCTGAAACGCTACTGTCAATCAAACTATCGTGGGAGGGGCCTGTCTGTGTGACGTCTGAGATCGGCTTGATTTGAGAAAGGGGAAAACATTTAACCAGATTAAAAAAAAAACACTGGGTGGATTTTTGTCATTATAGTGTGGTTGTGTACATACACTGTCAACACACATTTCAGTTCAAACAACTTGTAAAAGTGCATGTAGCATCCTATGACCCCTTTAAGATATACTGATGTTAACGTCTCGCTGGACGAACAGTTGATAAAGTGTAACTATCAAATTTGGAATCAGTTCAATCAGGTTGATTTTGAATCTTCAGATTCGATTCCCCTCTCAAAACCTAAGAGTTAATTTCCCTACACTGCATTATACATCTTAAATATATTGCAAGAGTCCAGATACTTTTAGGGGTGATTGTATGAAGTCAAAAAATTGACTGGACTATAAACCTTAAATTATTTGGTTATGTATCCAAAAATGTAGGATAAACAAATATGTGTCAGATTTCACTCCTATAGAAGTACTTTTAAAAGAAGTACAGTTTTAAAATTGGTCTGTTTTTGTTAGTCAAAGGCCAAAGGTACTGTATAGCAGTCAAACTCTACTATAATTTGACACAAATTCATCTGTCAATTAGAAATGAATCGGTTATAGACACCAATATGGTTGGTTGCATGACGCTCTCATCCTTGAAAATTATACAAACTATACAAATTAAGAGAAAATATGACCCTGATTACAGTGGATACACTTTCACTTATATTGAGGATAAACATAGTTTTGATGTTTTGCATGGCACCTGCCAAAACAATGAAATATTGAAATGTAGACATTAAAATTAATTTTAAGAACATTTGTGATTATTTTGTTAACATTAATGTATTAAGTATCAATGTAGTGTCCGTAATTGAATGGACAACTATTTTTACAGCATTCATTAATCTAGGTTAGTGTTACTGTATACATAGCCTATAGGGTACTATTGTTCATTATTAATTCATGTTTGTTCATAATATATGAATTAATGTTAAATTAGGCAACATCAAATGTAAAAATTAAAAAAAATATTATCTACTTGCATATTTATGAATTGTGCTCACCAAGACCATAAACTAAGCCATTATGGCACAGTTTATTAAGGTTGTCACTTGATGTCCAAAGTAAAATCTGCATCCTGTAGCAAAAACCTATTGAGAAGCACCGATTTAGGCCATGTTTTGGTTGTATTCTCTTCTAGGTGCATATGACCCTGACGTGTCTAAGGACAACCTAGATTGGAAACAGAACCAGGACCGGGCTTTTGTTTCAGGTGGCTTGAAATTAGTGGACAGCGAGATCATCATTCCTAACGACGGCATTTACTTCGTCTACAGCCAGGTGTCTTTCCACATCAGCTGCAAGAATGACATGACTGAGAACCACAAAGTCGTGCATATGAGCCACGCAGTGTTCCACTACTCTGAGTCCTTCGGCAGCTACAAGCAGCTTTTCAGCGCAATCCGCTCCGTCTGTGTGCACGCGTCCAACACTGAAGAGCTGTTGTACAACACCATTTACCTCGGTGCGGCCTTCAACCTGCAAGCTGGAGACAAACTGCGCACCAAAACCACCACAGAACTCCTGCCCAACGTCGAAAACGATAACGGAAAGACCTTCTTTGGGGTGTTTGCTTTATGATATGCACTCTAAAAATAGGAACTTTCCGTTTTTTTTTGTTTTTTTTTATTACAGGTGTTTTACCTGTATTTTGCACTGCATTGCGTTGTGTTTTAGACTTGTACGTAAAATTAATGGATAATGTCCATATAAATGGATAATTCACTAATGACACAACTCTATTTTATTGTGGCAGTGGACAGTCTTAATACTTTGGTTCCTGTTAGCGCTTACTTTTCAGAAACTTCCTGTTTCATTTCTTTGCATGGTACGTCTCTGTATTTTTTTGTTTAAGCAATATTTGTATAGTTCACTCACTGACTCTGCTCTTCCACTGTGTTTCTTGTTTAAAGCCTGTTTCATATATTCAACTGCAGGACTGTCTTGGTGAGGTGGTGTCAGATATTGTTTGAATAAAGCAACAAATGAGTGAATCAAAAACATCAAAGAATGATTTAGACACATTAAGATGATACACAGGAACTGCAGCAGCACTTAGTCATCATTTCTGTTGCTAAAGTTCAAATGACACAATATTCTAGAAACAGAACTAAATGGATTATGATGTATTTCAGAGTGTTTTTTGATAATAAAAAAATCAACTCCGCAAACACTGAACAAAAATAAATCATGTGAGTTAAATCAAGTTAACATTTAAAACCTGTATTTTAAAAATGTATTATTGTAAGAATGCGCACTGCCTCATTTTTTTCCTGTCCTTCCCTTTTCTGTTTTAACACTAATCATCATCACCCCACTTTAAACCCACAAATGCGGTAAAGTTGTGCACATGCTTTGACATTGTCAGGCTCGAGATGTTGTGTCAAATAAATCCGTGCTGCATCTGAGTGCTGTCTATGATTGATAGTCAGTGGCCACAAAACCCTTTCTGCAGCCAAATCATAGTCACAAATATAGTTTTTGTTAGTTTATTATTATTATTTAACATTTTAATGGTAGAAGACAGCCGGAGATACGACGGAGATTAATCAACTTTAATTAAACTTTAGCTAGTTAAACTTTACTTATTGTATTTAGTTATATTTATTGTGTAAAAAGTCATGAAAGAAGCTAAACACAAGAAAACAGGAGCACATTCAGTAGCTCTTGTGAATCCACAGCTCTCATCTTTACATATTCTTTATTAGCGCAGTGTCATTTCTACATGAAACCACACCCTCACACACAGAAATACACAGATGCTTCCTTAGAGCTGATAAATCTATTTATATCAGTCACGCACATGCCCACACAATGAAGTTGTACCACCCCTATATAACTCCTTTTAATATAGCTAATTGATTCTGTCTGGCTGTTACTCATTCCCATTAAACAAACTAATCTTAAGTAATTCTTACACACTCATTGTATTCCTTTTATATTACACATGGGAAAATCTTACTATATTGATTATACTTTAATATTTAAGTTATGAGTAAATATAGAATCCATGCACATTTTGAAAATTTTTATGAACAAAAAGACGTAGGCATACACTGTAAAAAATGATATGATGAAAAAGCCATGACAACTTATGGTTTTAAGTTACTTTAACTCATAAAAATAATTTAAGCAATTTCAACTTTTTTTTATAAGTTATACTAGATTCAACTTGATTTTTTAAGTCAGTTTAATGTTACTGAAATTCAAAGAGCCCAATTTAGTTCAGTGAACTTAACATTTTAAATTGTAGCTTATTGGCACTAACCGGCCAAATCTCTGAACATGGATTCATGCGCAGGAGTCAAATTTGTACATGAATTTAATATTAGAGTCCTTTCCAAGAAAAAAAAAAAAATTCAGCAAATCTAGACATTAGACTCATGTTTGAAACATGAGACATCGCAGTGCAACATCAAACAAGGAGACACGGGCAGACTATACAAGAAAAAAAAATATTCAGCAAATCTAGACATTAGACTCATGTTTGAAACATGAGACATCGCAGTGCAACAGCTTGGCCGACACTTTTTAGATGTTAGAGGTAATGTGGCCGACGTTTCGCGCTTGGGCCGACGTCGGCCAGACGTACGTGTGCTGTCCGGGTAGTTAACTGATTCAGATGTATTTAATTAAGGATGGAGCTAAACTCTGCAGGACAGTGACCCGCAGAGCAGGATTCGACACCCCTGCTTTAAACAATCACTTTTTTTTTGTTATTCAAAACATTGAATGTGTTTAATTAATTTGTGTATATTGAAGTCTGTCAGTGTGTATTGTATATAAAATAACCAACTGTTAGTCATTTTTACTGTTATTTTCTTATTTTAAAGGCTCATGGTGAGACACTTCATACACACAAGAAGGGCGTGCAAGCTGGCCTCCTAATACGAAGACTACGATGGTGCACTGCAGGACACCTTTCTCCTTTTAAATGTTCAAGAAAATAAAGGACTGTAATGGACATGCATGTGTGTGTTTTTTCAAGCTTTTCTCAGTGGTTGTTTCCCATGAGGTATGAGTGTATTTTCAGCTTTGTATGACAGTTTCTTGGCAGTTTTTTGCTACTTTTGTGCCCTTGTTGTATACATATACTGGCATTCACACATTAGCATGCACAGGCAGGTTGTGTACTGTTCTTAATATTAAAACCCTGTAAGCACTGCAAGAAAAAAATAAATTTTAAATGTTTCAAACAAATGTATATTTTTTTTATTTGGATCTAAAATAAAGTTTACATTATCATAACTAGAAAATTAATGTTAAAAATTTTGAACTTAAGTTGAAACAGCAAATATTGTAAAGTCAAATGAACTTCAATAAAACAATTCAGGACTAGGCAAGATTTAAATTATTGAGTTGAAATGACTTGTACTTTTTAGTTGATTTAACTTAAAATTTTAAGGCAGCCACAAAACTTAAGTTTTTAAGTTGAAAGGGGTGAAATTTTTTTACAGTGTAGGAGAAGATTCATAGATTTGATAATGTAACCATTATCATGGTTTAAAGTTTCCATTTGTATCCACTAGTCAAAACAATTAGATTTTTATTTAGCTGAAGTACTGTATGTACAACAAAACCAACTTAATGGTTTGATGAAAACACACACAATAGTGACAGAGACAGAAAAACATCCTACTTGTTCCTCTATTCTTGTTGACACTCATTTCAACCCTCACCCAATAGTCCATTTAACAGCAGGTTTTTTTTTATTTTATTTACATGACATTGATTATGACTTTTTTTAGTTGCCAGAAAGCAGGACATTATAAGACTTTTAGCAGAATGCTTTTGCTTCAAACATGTTACATAAAACACATGGCTGTTTAAATAAGTCACTCAAAAATGCTCAATTACAGATTCAATATATTCTGCATACAGTTACTGTACAGACAAGAATTATTTTTCATGCTTCAGTGGTTACCACTTTGAATCAGGCGGCTTTTTGTACATGTATATTCTCAAAATGCAAAGATAATAAGCTCCATTGCTAGTCTAAACACTGAATATGAATTCTGAGGTTTAAAATGAACAAATCCTGTTTTCAAGAAGTTTTAGCATGGGTATTGACATGCTCAGGGAGCTCTGCTGGGTCATTCTGTGCATTAGCGGGTGTAGATGTGGTTTTAACATAGACTACATCAGAACATGCCACTTCATCCTGGAGAAAGAGCAAAGAGATTGTGCTTACACCTAAATTGCACACAGCATTGCATGTAACCATATATATCATACAATATCTCAGCCGGTTATACTTAAGGTAAACTTATTTAACAACATCTATCAATATGTCACCATATTTAAAAAATGCTTCTATGTATAATTTCTCCAACATTCATTTACACAATTAATGAAACTTTTTTTAAATGAATCAGTAACAAGTAACAAACAAGGGTTTTCAAATATACGATTAATACTAAAATCAACATTTTGCTAGGATGGACCCATTAGGTGTCATTAACAATATAAGAAAGTGTGTTTGTGTACCTCTCCATATCTAGAAGATAATGCCAGAAATGCCAGTAACAGTACTACAGGAAACACAGCCACTAAAATGAAAACATCTGTGGAGAAACACACAGGCTAGTTGACAATGACATATCATGTTCATAGGAAAAAAACACAGCAAAACTCACTGAATAATGAAAAGCAAACCAAGCCTATGACTTACATTGTGGTGTGTGGTGTGTTTGTTGTGGTGGTGGAAGTTCTTGTGTTTGGTGTGACAGTTGATGTGTTGATAAACTGATTGTATAGACATGTGGTTTCTCTGTTCAGAAGCCAATAAGTGTGTGATAATATAACACTGGAACAGCAAAACATGCCATATCATCAAAAGTATCAGAAACAAAGTTAACAGTAATGATGACAACAGACATAAATAGAAGAAAACTACCTTCAACATGAAGTACACGAAGTGTGACAGCGACTACTTGCTGAGACGGGACAAAACACTGAGTTTAAAAAGAGTTAAAAAAGAGTTTATCCAGAGCATTCAAATGAGCTTTACTGGAATATACAATAACCAGGAAAAATAAAAGCTGAAAAGATCGCTTCAGGGGTACAAGCATAATTTAAACCTTAATAGTAGTTAATGAACAACACAATGTTACTCAAATCTCATCAGATTTGGGTTATTATTATTAGTAGTAGTAGTAGTAGTATTCACAAATACTTTTTTAATTTGTTTGCACTGCTTCCCTGTTTCAAACAGAGAGCCACCCGAGCCACCCTTCTATGAAGCCTGTATTTATAATACATTATAAGGGTATTCTTAAGGCATTATAATAAATGCATAATGTATTATAAAAAAAACTTATAATATGTAATATCATCTCATGATTAATCATAACAACAGTTTTAATGCATTATAATATTTACTTATTTGTGCTTTTAAGAGTATGATGATTTATTACACACAATGAACACAATGCATCCACTTACATTAGATTATATTTCCCATAGTTATAATGTATTATAAGTCTCATATCTTGCCATTGTTAACTTGTTACTTTACTCAATAGGTGTATTATTTTTAGTGCCACTTGCACTATGAATGACATTTAGACATTTGAGATTTATGACCAATAGTCTCACAATATTTTTTTAGATTTTTATATCACACTTTTTTTTTATTTTATGTAAGCATCATAACAAAGTATGTATATACATTATTATGGTAGTATACACTTGTTTTAATAGGCCAGGCTTAAGAAGCAGCACTTAGTATTATACAATATGTACTGTAAGCTCAGCCATCTCTACCCGGTGTTTGGTCAGAAGGAGCTCTTTGAAGCCAGGTTTACACTGATCTGTGTTGAAAAGGTCTACGTGCATATCAGTGGACCACAAGGAAGAAACGAATGTCTGAAGTGGCATATTTCACAGAAGTGAAAGTATGCAGATGGAATGAAGAAAACTTCATTTCTGGGAACAAATGCTCATCATTCTAAAATAAACAGCACACTCTCAAAGAGGAGCCCAGTAAGTACACTTCGCTTTCTCAGTGATATGGCAGACGCCAGTATTAGGACATCAGAAAAGGACCAGGACAGCTGTCCAGTCTGTCAAGATCTACTGAAAAATCCAGTGACTTGTAAATGTGGACAGAGTTTCTGTTCGGCGTGCATTCACAGTCTGAAGCAGTACAGTCCAAAGGGATCCCACAGCTGTCCTCAGTGTGGTGAGGCGTTCGCTCCAAAGCCTGTTCCACGCAGATTCATCAAGGTTGAGAGAATGAAAAAAGTGGAGCTATCTTCTTCAAACCATCCCTCGGATCCAAGCTATGCTGGACCTGGAGATGTAGGGTGTGATGAATGCACTGGAAGAAAACACAAAGCCGTCAAGTCTTGTTTAATGTGTCTGGCTTCCTTCTGTGAAAGCCACTTAATACCTCACACCACAGTGACCTATCTGAAGAGACACAAGCTGATCGAAGCCTCCCCAGACCTGCAGGAAAACAACTGCTCCCAACATGACAAACTCAATGAATTCTATTGCCGTACAGACCAGAAATGTATTTGTGCTTCGTGTGTATTGAATGAACACAAAGGACATGATACGGTTGAAGCTGAAACAGAAAGGATGGCAAAACAGGTGAGAACTTGTTCATGTTATATGCCTGACTTGATGGGATCAAATGATTTTTGATGTTTCCATCAGTTCCCTGAGGTAAAATGGTTGTAAAATGCTGTAAAAAGAAAGTTGCATGAGAGCACATGATCATAGCAGTAAACTAGTTAGACCAGTCAGGGAATATGTTTTAATATGTAGCTACATTTCCCCCCCTAAAGACTGAGATTGCAGAAAAGCAAAGGGAAGTACAGCAAAGAATCAAGGACAAACAG